CCCTCGGTCACTTAGATGGCACATACACTCACAGCACAGAGCTCTCCTTTGCAGAAACAGTATTCATAAAAAACAAGACAATTTCAGTACTTGTATTTGTTGAATGTAAATTTGTGGCACAGATGTTTTATCTCTGATCTTTCATGACATTGTTACTATATAATATGAAGTGATCTAAAGACCAGTTTTACTTTGATGCCCACCTCTTTGACTCAGATAAATAGTTTACCTCTGTGCAAAAGCTGTAGGTAGCTTTCAAAGTGTAATTGGTCACACGGTTTTCCTCTTCCCTTCCCTCTCTGGCAAGTCAAAGTAACAGAACCACCATAAACCTCTGTGGTGGTTTCTTTTGTCTGTCTGTATGTGTGTATGTATGAGTTCACACCAATCACTGAAGACACATTGCATTTTTCTTCACTGCTGTGGCCAGTGCTGTCAGTACAGGCTTTCACAGGACAGGCTTGCATTTCCCTCCAAAGCTGCAACAAGTTCTGTTGTTTAGCTGTGAACACCTGCTGTGCACTTTGTACCAGGGTAAATCCCTGCTGGACACAGCAGGAACATGACCAGAACAGGTCCCTGATGAAGCATTTCAGCTGGTTACAACTCTTTGTGAATTCAGCACTCACGAATCTAAGGCAGAGACAAGTAATGCACTCTTGACATGACAGGATTACCTGTCTGCAAAGGCATATAATATATAATATTATATTGTATAGAATGGTTATTCCCATTTGAATACAAAACCAATCAGACACCAATGATTTGGATTTTATGCACGTGTACAGGTAAAAACAAGACCATTGTCCTGGAGTGACTAATATTTAAATAATATCTGCATAAATGGCAATAAAGCGACAAATAAAAGCAACTGTTACCTGCTTGTTCAAAGCCTTGTGAACATTCTGCAATCCCATGATTTCTATTACTGCAATCTCACCAGAGCTGCAAGTGCAGCTGACTGTGAAGGTCTAGGTCCTGTAAAGTCTTACCCATGTACACAGTGGACATGGAAGGAACAGTGAAGGCACCTTTGTGCCTGCTTAGGAAGCAGGGACAGCGAAGGCACCTTTGTGCTGTTCCAAGGGTGCTGGCTAAGATTTTGGGTGAGGAAATCCCCTCTTACAGATAGCTCACGACCCCTTTTGTGATTAAAAGGCAAGAAATTTGATTTCTCAAGAGCCTATGGCTTCCCAACAAACCTTGGGAAACAAATTCAGAATACTAGCATATGCTCTAATCCATTTTCTAGTTATAAAAGCTTCTTTATTACTGTTTTTGGCTGACAACACTTGAGATAGCATGTTTATCATCATTCTTAAAACACTTGAGAGAGAACAATGTAGGTGCATTTTTTATTTCGGTTTTAACTTCTTTATTTCATTGCTGTACAGCTGCATTACACTTGGCTTTAATCCCTCAAGCATTATTTTCCTTGGCAAAACAGTCACTGAACTGAGTAGAACTTACTATTGGAAAAATATGCTTGAAAAACCAGTGTGATGTCAATGCCAACTGAAATCCATGGAGCTTAAAATGTCACAAATGGGCCTGTAGCTGAAATACAGAGCTCCTCTTTTTTTTTTTTTTTTGTCTGAGCTAGGAATGTTGTAAGTCTTAGGTTGTGAAGTCAACTGTAAAAATCACAGAGTAGCCTCCTGAAGCTGAATGTGTGCTGAAACTGAATGTGTGCTTCCCTCCCTCCCTCCATAAACAAACATTTAGAGAACAATTATATAAAACTGGATGTAGGATAATTCCATAGGAAACAAATGACTGCATGGCTCCGCTTCCAGTCTTGCCTGCTTTAACTGTAGCTATCTGTTATAAGTTGGGCTACAGGCTTCTCAGAGAAAAGAGAGAACCCGGCTTTGTAAAACATCTTTAATATTCAAATATATAAATAAGCACTACTGAAGAATAATTCAGAAGACTGCGGTGATTCATTACGAACAGATGCTATAAACGGGAACAGTAACATTGCTAGGTAAGGAAGAAGCAAGCTATTTTAGGAGTCTTGAAAATCTCTTCTAGTTCTTCAGACAGATCATGCTGCTATAGTTATTTTATAAAAAATTATATTCTGAAAAGCACTTTAGTAAAAGAAACCTTTTACTGGAACTATTATTTAACCAAGACCTTCTACAGCACTAAAACACACTGCAATTGAGTTCCTGATACAGTTTTAAGAATGGGAGGGGTGAAAATAAGAACGAAAAAACCCTACCATACCTGCACCAGGAGCTATTTATTAGCATAACACTCTTCCTTTTAAAGATTTTGTAACAACTGAAGTATATACAAAGTCTTACAGCATTTACACAATAAAAAAATTTCCTATTAGCTGATGTAGTATAAGGTAGTGCTGCAATTTACTTCAAAGCATGAATACAATAATAATGAAGCAGACCACTGTACTTTCAACTTCTCCACGACCACACCACCACTGTCAGTTGAAATGACAGTTAATTAAACCACTGGGAAGACAGACTGTTGAAAGATTTGTAACAGGTTGATTCGCAGCACTAACCATCTTGAGGAAAAAAAAAAAAAAAAAGAAAATAAAAGCTACATACTGTCATGTTTCTACACTTTCCTAGAGCTGGAACAAACTTTCACAGCCTTAGATATAACATATGCAAGACAACATAATCACATTTTTTCAGATATAGTTTAGCTACTGAGTGTATTTACTTCTGAATAGGAGGCGTTATATTGATATGGCTGTGTGTTTCCATTTTTGTTCATTAATTCTTCAAATAGGTCTACAAAAAAATTAAGACAGCATGGGGTTTGTAGTCATGGTGTGTTTTGACTAATCAAGGCATTCAATATCAGCTATAGGATCTAATTATTCCTGTCAAAAGTTTAAGACCAGGAATCTTTGAGTAAAAATCAAACCCATGAAATCCTGCACCTGTGCCATTTTCATCTGTTGACTCCAACCTTCTTTAAGCTTTTCCAACTGGTATAATACAAAATCATTAAAATGCTTACACCAACCCAAATGCAAGACTCATTTAGTTTATGAGAGGTCAAGCAGATTCACTAGACTACTTCTGCTGTAAAACAGAGGGAGCTTACCTAGGAAAAATAAAACTTTTACTGAACAGTGCCTTACTACAAGTAGGGATATATAGTTTAACAATGATACATAATTTAAGAACATAGCATTCTTTGCCTTTTAGAAACAGCTTTCATGTGCCAATAATGCACTTTCTACAAGAGATAAGGCTGCTTTGCCTATCGTTGTATGCCTAAACATCATATTTCGGCCAATTCCACTTTTCTTCCCCCCAAAGGGATTCTGTTTCACCTTGGAAACAAGTAACATCAGTTGACAATATCTGTATTAAGACAAAAAGTGACATATATAAAATCCACAAGGAACCACATAAATACCAAAGAAGTCATATAACCTTTCCATGTAAACACTCTGATTATACTGAAGCCCTAATCAGATTCTTGTCTTAAACTTTTGGCAGATAATGTGTATGCTCAGCCAGGCTTTGTAGTTAGTTACTGTTCAAGTGGAAGCCAGGTCAGCTCACATGTTGACAGGCATGCAACTTGGAAACATTGCACAACAAGCAACACAAAGAGATTTGAGAAGGGTACAAGACTTCAAGTAGACTTCACAACCCTTCACAAACTGAATATTCACAGACAAAGATACAGTCCTTGCTTTTTTCTACGGTGGATTTCTCTCTCACACATGGGACACTTTCTGTGACTCTCTAGCTTGCTTGATGCTATATAACCACTTGATGATTCTGGCATTCCTTTCAATGGCAGAAATGCCGTATGGCACACGGTCATTGGCACTGTCATCATTTCTAAGGTCACTGTTGCTGTCCTGAGACTGTTCACAGTCTGAGCTAATCATGCTTGCACTGCGAAAGTTGAGGGATATAATATCAGAGTTAGCCCTTGCAAAGTTTTCCATCCCAAGATTTTCAAGCTCTTCAGGATCCAGTCCGCAGTAGTTAAAGAATCGTTCAACATCTGCGTCAACACGAAAGTATCTGTCGCTTAAGTCTGATTTTGATCGCTGTAGGGAGGGTCTTCTACTAACTCCACATCCAGACTCGACTGCCTCAATCTCTGGGGATTTCAGGGTGGCAATGGCAGCGATTTTGGGCTTTGGAGGCAGAGGTGGGGCTGAACTACTGCAGGGTATTGCTTTTAAGGGCTTTGCGCTAGTTACTTTCCTAATGTCTGAAGAGCTGTGAGAGACATGCAAGAAAGTCTCTGCTGACTGATCTAGGAGCCTTCTGCTGACATTGGAGCTGCTCTCCTGTGGGCTGCTCCGGCCCTGCGTGGGGTAAACCTTCAAGGATTCGGCGAACGAGTGTCGGTTCAGCTCTGTCGAATCGGCCCTGTGGGGTGGCCAGTTTCGGGGACCGTGCTTATGCCCTGAACCTGAGCTAGAGCCTTCAGAGCTGTTGATGATGTTCTTCAAAATCTCAAGTTTCAGATTTTCTCTCTGGACTCCACTCTCAGTCTTTGCATTGTTGCTGAAGACTTTCAAGGTGGGGCTCCCCAAAGCTCGCTTGGCTGCAGGACAGACCGGCGGCTTTGCCAGCACCGCCGGCTTCACAGGCTCCTGCTTGGCATTGATGACCTCCTGGCTCTTGACGTATTTCGCCTTGTCGGCTTCGAGCCTCTCCACTGCACTCAGTCTTTTTGGATTAGGCTCCGCCTGCCTGCGAAAATAGTCAGGTCCTTTGTTCAGGATGCGGAGAGGAACGGCAGATGTGAAAGTCACGGCAGGGCTGACCGGCTTCACCATGCTACCTGTCGGTAATGTTTCTGTAGGCATGTTTGGTGGTCTTTCCCCCGCAGCCGTTTTGGATTCTTCTCTGGGATCTCCTAAATGCACGGTGCAGAAACATGTACATTAAGCACAATGAATAGCCGATGAATCCTGGGATCTGAGCGTTAGCAGCAGTGCCTCATCTCACAGCTCATTAAATAACACTGCGTTTCTCTTTTAAAGGCAGCCTTTGTAGGGCAAGGGCACCCGACACAAGTCCCTATTAGTCTGCTCTGCTGGCTCCTTTCTTCTCGCTGAAAGATGTGGGAGTCTCGCCGTCCCCTCTGCGCTCCACGAGCGAGCGGCAGCGATCTGAAAGGCAGAATAACCAACCACACGTTAGCGGGAGCGCCTGACATCAGAGCGATAGCAACAGCCACCATCCGGCCCTCCTCTCCACCGCCGCCCGGGAGGCTGCCGCTCACGGTGCCACTGCCCCGCTCCTGCCCAGCGCCCCTCTGCGTCTCACAAGATGTGTATTGTTTGATATTTACACTCTGAGCTTGGATTTAACAAAATTACTTTGGGGAAAAAAAAAAAATTCTAAAAAAATTAAGCCTCATCACAATACAGCCATGCATTTCTAGACGGAGAAAGGGAAGCAGAATGAGACAATTCAGAGACTTGAAGCCACATATCTCCCAGTAAAAAAGCACTTCTTATTAGTATATTTGGCTTAGTTAGGTAGATTTGTGAACACGTTTGAGCTCTAACCCCCAAAGATTTTTCTCCTTATAGGCAACATACTGTATAAATCTCAGCAATCAAGTGTATTTTCCTTGCTCATTAAATCGTCCAGAAAACAGTCTGGTCTAAAAAGCAGAGAGTAAACAGAGACATGTAGTGTTTTAAGTGCAACGCACATCTTTCATTGCTAATCAAATATAGAATCAACAAATAAAACCAGGAGATGTCACTAAATCCACCAATTCCAGTTCCTAGTCTGTTTGAATATTAGTACCCATAGCACTGGCGCTCCAGCAATAATAGAAGGCCTTCCAAGCTCTCATGATCACCTTACAGGCTTAACAGAACAACAGAAAATGTCTGGTTTTTTATTTAAGATTTTGGGAACATGAAAAACCGTTGTGACTGGGTTTGAAAAAGAAGAACTTGTCTTCAACATGTAGATAAAATAACTCAGGTTTTCTATCAAGCAGTAAGTACAAATAAAAATTATCTTCATCTAAATTATTTTAAGGTTTTATTACTGAGATTGTCACAACAGTCTAAAATCCAACACCATGGATGATATTACAAGTGCTGAAACAATTTTTCCTAAACGAGGCACTGAAGGGCACTTACCATGGAATCTACTTTTCAAGCAGTGATTTCGCTAATGGGTCTCATTTGTTTTATTACTGCCCCATTAATCTATGCTGCCCTCTTTAATATCCCATTTCTATTATCACTGTGATCTTCAGGGAGAGAAAGAAAAGAAGCTACTGCTTCTTCACTCTATCCTAAAGAACACAGAGCAGCATCCTTCCCTGGGATGATTTGCTTTCATGTTGCTGTCATCCTATGTGTCCTCATCCAAAAATACTCAACTTGAAATTTCAGCTGAAGTTACATTAACAGTAAAAACAAAACAACCTCAATCACTGATGACCAGAAACATGTGATCTATATACATTAAATACTTTCTGCATATTATCCAAGGTCAAAGCAAGTAAATAAAATATACAAATGCTATAATGAGATTACAGGAAAAAGCTGAGCTTTCTCCTGAAGGCTCACTGTCACAAGCATTCTTCAAATACAAACTAACATATTTAGGTGGGTGATAAACCAGACACAGATTCAGTGCAATTGAAAGGGTAGTGAAATGTTAATTAAGCTTCTCTTTCAATGCTGTTTTATAAATCCTAGTGTTAACTCCTCAGCAGTTTACTTCCTGAATTTAAACTAAGTCTCCCTGAAAGAGAAAAAGCTTTCCTCATTTCAATCAACATATTTATTGGTACTGTTTGGAAATTAAGTATGAAACTTCTAAATGCACAGAAGGCAATTCCAACTTGCATCTGCACACACGTTTCTCTTCCGTACACACAAAGCAAAGCTTTCCACATTGCCAGCTCAGAGCTGGATGGCTAAGTGCCCGAATAAATACCCCGTTGATGCATATATTTAATACTTGTGTGCAGAAATCAAATCTGTGTGAGAGCAGGGGGTTTGTCAAGAGGAAGAAAACCCCACAAACAACCGAGCTCTTTGTACTTAACACTGTCACCAACTGAGTTAATACTACTTGAGTAAGCAAGACAACTCTCCTGCTTGACCACTGTCATTAAAGGTGACCATGGTCCTGCCCCTGAGGACAGCTGCCAACTCCATTCTCCTCCTGGTGAGGGACTCTGCACACTGCTACAGATCAGAGCGTGGGGAACTGAGGCCTCCAGCTCGAGGCTGCTGTGGGAAGTCTTTTCCCAGAATTTAACAACTTCCTCACTTTGGATAGCCTTCATCAACATCAGCAAGAATTGCCCAGTAGGCTGAGCATCCACATTAGCTTCAACACTGCACTTAAAAGGAAAAACAAAGAAGAAAAATAAATCCCACCATGCATGTGTGTTTATCTGAGAGAACAAGTGTGCTTATTTGCAAGCACGTGTGGAGCCAAGTGCCCTGGAGTCAATGGGAATATGCTACAACTGGCAACGTGCTTCAGGCATGTCTAGAAACAAAAGCAAGGACCTGCTGAGGAGCCAGGACAGAAACATCTACCTGAGCCAGCACAGGGAGGCTGGGGGGTAACAGCCAAGTGGTTATGTGGTCAGACATGGAGGCTTTGTACCTGTGGGGCTGCTGCTATAAATTAAGGAACACTATGAAAAGGGACCAACTTTTCGTGTATTGTTTAAATTGTTCCATTTCACTGAAGCGCTGCATTTGAGTATCACCCGAAAGCTTATTCAGTATTCTCATCTCAGAGAGATAAAAATTACAGATTTAGCCAGATACAGTTAAAAAAGAAAGTGTGATGAAAGAAAGGTGGATGAATGTAAAATCTAATGAAACTTCTGCCTGTGCTGATGATGGCTGCAGCCTGATCCTACTGCTAACTGGGAAAATGAGTTCAATTCCTACCAGCCTCTCTCCTGTCCATGGGCACCTGAAGCACCACAGTGACACTACAGAACCTTGCTACTTATTAATTTTATTGTTAATGATACAGGCTGAGAGCAGCAGTACAGTGCAGTCTCAGGAAGACTTAGATTCCACTTGTGAAAATCATCATTGCAGCAACCAGGGCATAGAGATGGCTTTTTTCTGGCTTAAACTCCAAAGAAACTCATGGCTTAGGCATCTGAATTCCTTGTTGGGTACATCTCTGGTACCAGTAACACCCTGCAGAAACTCAAAAGCCAATAGGTTTTCTTCACCCACTCCCAGAAAATGTGTGGAATATACCTAGGAACCCAAGAAATGTTCCTCTCTCTCCATTTACATCCAGAGGTCTGCTCTATAGGTGTAATCCTTCTATGGACTGAACTGTGTTTTTCAGGATTTACTTTGGATTGCCATTACTGCTCTTCCTTACAAAACTACTAGACTTCAAAAATTATTTCAAGAAAAACAAAGACAAAAACTTTATGCATGCATTCAAACATAGTTCTATTTAATATCATTTATACATTAATCAAACTTTTCTGAAAGGTCTTACTGAGCTCCTCTAATATCCCGCAACTATTGCATACCTGCTGAATAGGATACAAAATGCACAAAGTTTTGGGTTTTTAAAGCTGCATTTTCAGCCAGACACTTCAATCCAGGATTCCTTTGTGGCAGAGGCAGAGATTCAAAGCACTTAATTCATTCTAGGCATCATAGTTTAATCACTCTTGAGTCCATAATATGTTTGCCAGATATTCATATTTAAATAACCAATGCACTATCTGCATGACTTAGGGGAACACAACACAGCCTAGAGCAGCAATAGCTACATGACTAACATTAACTACAAATAAATCTCCTATAAAATATTCTTTCCTTACTTTAAAACCAAAGCAGTAGGAAGAGATAAACTATGCAGAAACTTTGAAATCCCAGGTTCACATATTCTAAAAATGCAGTTTCTTGAAATGTATGAGAAATTTATGAACAGACCCCATTGTGGCAAGTATTTATTTCTAGCACTATTATGGATACAATAGTATTGTACAATAATAGAGCTCATTTTTTCCTCTCATACCTAAAACTGCATTCTAAACACAGACTGAATGGTGCTAACTGACAGCAAATGACACACTTCCCTCCTCGGTTCTGTGGTGTCCTGTAGCTCCTACGCATTTGGCCACGTTTCACCCAGTCTTTGTCTAAAAGTATCCACAGAAAGGCATGACATATTTTAGCAGTGTTCAAGTTACAGAAAAAGCAGCAAAAAAGCCATGTGAAAATGTGGTCCAAATGAAGTGAGTGAAATTTCTGTCCTTGACTTTGGTGAGGACATTGCTTCACCTGACAAAGTTACAATGAAGCTCATTCTCCTAATTCATCCCTCTGGGACAGCAGATGAAGGGATTGCACAGAAGGGAGGATGATGTACAGTGGATAAATATAATGAAGGATGACAGCCTTTACTCTGCCTTCCTTGATATTTAAAGGCCTGTGTCAATTTTATTTTCCAGGTGATAAAATATAACTACCACTACCTCAAGATGAACCATAAACATGACATAAATTCCAGTATAAGTAATAAAGAAGGGGCTGCAACAGGACTCACTCAAAGAGATCACAAAACAAAACCTATGCAGGAACACAGAACACAGAAAATGTCCAGGAAAAATGTCAGGTTCCTCTAACACCTGGGTGCACTTCAGAGCTGCAGACCCCATTATGAAGATACTGTTTATTTAACAGTCACTGCAAAGCCTATAAATGACAGCTTCACTGAGAATGACCTGCTACAGGTCTGTGTGCTAAGTTACACTAATATGTATGCCTAAAACTCATACAAGTTATTCTGTGGATAATTGCCATTGTAAACCTCACATATATATGTTACTAAGTTTAAAAAAACAGGCAAAGCCTAAGTAAACTTGGCTGAAATTGATAAAAAGGTCATCCATATCCAGAATGGCAGCAGTATTTCATTTTTTAAACCAATTTTAGATAAAGATGTGCATGCTGTGTAGTCTTGGTCTCATATAATATTAACTGTCAAGATAAAGCATGAGGAGATGAAATAGTCTTTCAGATCTACCATGACTCAAAATACTAATGAAAATGCCTATTTTCTACTCTGTTCTTCCCTAAAATGTGGTACAGTGAACATTAAGAGCAATATGCATCTGTTCAAGTATACATTT